TCTCTCTCTCTCTCTCTCTCTCTCTCTCTCTCTCTCTCTCTCTCTCTCTCTCTCTCTCTCTCTCTCTCTCTCTCTCTCTCTCTCTCTCTCTCTCTCTCTCTCTCTCTCTCTCTCTCTCTCTCTCTCTCTCTCTCTCTCTCTCTCTCTCTCTCTCTCTCTCTCTCTCTCTCTCTCTCTCTCTCTCTCTCTCTCTCTCTCTCTCTCTCTCTCTCTCTCTCTCTCTCTCTCTCTCTCTCTCTCTCTCTCTCTCTCTCTCTCTCTCTCTCTCTCTCTCTCTCTCTCTCTCTCTCTCTCTCTCTCTCTCTCTCTCTCTCTCTCTCTCTCTCTCTCTCTCTCTCTCTCTCTCTCTCTCTCTCTCTCTCTCTCTCTCTCTCTCTCTCTCTCTCTCTCTCTCTCTCTCTCTCTCTCTCTCTCTCTCTCTCTCTCTCTCTCTCTCTCTCTCTCTCTCTCTCTCTCTCTCTCTCTCTCTCTCTCTCTCTCTCTCTCTCTCTCTCTCTCTCTCTCTCTCTCTCTCTCTCTCTCTCTCTCTCTCTCTCTCTCTCTCTCTCTCTCTCTCTCTCTCTCTCTCTCTCTCTCTCTCTCTCTCTCTCTCTCTCTCTCTCTCTCTCTCTCTCTCTCTCTCTCTCTCTCTCTCTCTCTCTCTCTCTCTCTCTCTCTCTCTCTCTCTCTCTCTCTCTCTCTCTCTCTCTCTCTCTCTCTCTCTCTCTCTCTCTCTCTCTCTCTCTCTCTCTCTCTCTCTCTCTCTCTCTCTCTCTCTCTCTCTCTCTCTCTCTCTCTCTCTCTCTCTCTCTCTCTCTCTCTCTCTCTCTCTCTCTCTCTCTCTCTCTCTCTCTCTCTCTCTCTCTCTCTCTCTCTCTCTCTCTCTCTCTCTCTCTCTCTCTCTCTCTCTCTCTCTCTCTCTCTCTCTCTCTCTCTCTCTCTCTCTCTCTCTCTCTCTCTCTCTCTCTCTCTCTCTCTCTCTCTCTCTCTCTCTCTCTCTCTCTCTCTCTCTCTCTCTCTCTCTCTCTCTCTCTCTCTCTCTCTCTCTCTCTCTCTCTCTCTCTCTCTCTCTCTCTCTCTCTCTCTCTCTCTCTCTCTCTCTCTCTCTCTCTCTCTCTCTCTCTCTCTCTCTCTCTCTCTCTCTCTCTCTCTCTCTCTCTCTCTCTCTCTCTCTCTCTCTCTCTCTCTCTCTCTCTCTCTCTCTCTCTCTCTCTCTCTCTCTCTCTCTCTCTCTCTCTCTCTCTCTCTCTCTCTCTCTCTCTCTCTCTCTCTCTCTCTCTCTCTCTCTCTCTCTCTCTCTCTCTCTCTCTCTCTCTCTCTCTCTCTCTCTCTCTCTCTCTCTCTCTCTCTCTCTCTCTCTCTCTCTCTCTCTCTCTCTCTCTCTCTCTCTCTCTCTCTCTCTCTCTCTCTCTCTCTCTCTCTCTCTCTCTCTCTCTCTCTCTCTCTCTCTCTCTCTCTCTCTCTCTCTCTCTCTCTCTCTCTCTCTCTCTCTCTCTCTCTCTCTCTCTCTCTCTCTCTCTCTCTCTCTCTCTCTCTCTCTCTCTTTTTTTCTTTTTTTTCTTACATTTCGTTTTTTTACATGATTTTTGCTTCTTTTGATTTATTTATTCATTTATTTATTATTATTTATTTCAATTCTCTCATTTTCTCTCTCGTTTTTCTTTTTTTCTCTTACAACTTCGCGTTTTTTTTATTTTTTAAATGTTTTTTTTAGATTTTTTATTGCAAATTTACATTTTTTAATGTTTTTTTCAATGGTTTTTTCTCCTTTTGATCTGTTTATTTTTTCCTTTTACTTTCTCGTTTTTTTATTATTCTCTCTCTCTCTTTATTTACTTATTTATTATTTATTTACTATTATTTTATTTTTATTTATTATTTTTTATATTAGATTTATTCATCTATTATTATTTTATATCAATTCTTTCATTTTTTTTCTTTTGTTTATGATTTCTTCTTACACTTTCCCGGTTTTTGTTAACTTCCCGATAGAAAGTTATTGTTTTCACCCCGAAAATGAAAATCGCTAATGTCATGAAATGTCGACGTTTCATGACCAGGAGAAGCTCCCCCGATGTTTTTTAGAAACATGTCTGCGTGTGTGTGTGTGTATGTGTAGACGCTTTGTTTCATTCACGCTCCCGGCCGAACGCGTAATGCGATCGAAGTGAATTCTATCACGATTGATAAGTAGGGCAAGATCCTTTAGATTGGGAGTAAATCCCCCCACCCATTTTTTGAGTTTTTCAAAAAAGAAAGGTGAATTTTGAATTTCTTTCGTTTACGCTCCCGCGCAAACGCGTAATGCGATCGAATGTTTTTTTAATCGTGATCGATAGGTATTCACCAGGTCGAGATGCCATCAGGTTGGGAGTCGAATCCCCCACCCCTTTTTGAGTTTTTCAAAAAAGAAGGGTGAATTTTGAATTTCTTTCGTTTACGCTCCCGTCCAAACGCGTAATACGATCGATTGTTTTTGAATTTTGAATTTGAATTTGAATTTGAATTTTGAATTTGAATTTTGAATTTGAATTTTGAATTTGAATTTTGAATTTGAATTTGAATTTTGAATTTGAGTTTTGAATTTAAATTTTGAATTCAAACCCTATCAGGTTTTGAATTTGTTTTTCCAAATTCAAATTCAAAATTCAAATCCAAAATTCAAATGCAAAATTCACATTCAAAATTCAAATTCAAAATTCAAATTCAAAATTCAAATTCAAAATTCAAATATTTCAAATTTGAACTTGCCAAATTTCAAATTTCAACTGCCCGAATTTCAAATTTCAACTTCTCGAATTTCGAATTTCAAACCATATCGGGAAGTAATACATATGCTCCTTTTAGGAGCGAATGCATCAAATTTCATATTTCAAATTTCAACTTCCTGAATTTTGGTTTGTTTTTATCAACTTCCCAATTTATCGGAGAAGTTATTGTAATCATCCAAAAAAATAAAATAATTAAAATGTCAAATTTCATGAAATCTTTAGGTGTCATGACTAGTAGTAGCATTCTAGATGGTTTTTGAAAAAATGTCCGTGTGTGTGTGTCTATGTATGTAGAGTTTTCTTTCGTTCACGGTTTCTCTTGAACGGCTGCTGCGATTGGGATGAATGAGGTCTCGAATGAGAGGTCTTTAGGTGATCTGCAAAAGATTAGTTTTTGGGATCATTCCCCCACCCGCTTCCGAGATATACGCGAAAATCTTCGAAAAATTTTCGCTCAAAAAACGTTTTTTGAGAATATCTCGAAAACTAATCGATACGTCAAATTTTCTAAAAGCACTTTTACTGGGGATTTTTTGAGCTCTACAAAAAAGGTCCTCATGAAAATTCTTGTAAATGCTCTACTTTTCGAGACATTGACACCCGTTTTTTTTCGAAAAAATCAGTTTTTTCGCAATATCTTAAAATCTAGGCACCACATCACAATATTTCATTCGACTTTTTGATAGGTCTTCTCGACCTCTATAAAAAAGGTCTGTTTGGTGAGGAACTAAGTTTAGGGTGGATTGGGAGGTTAGAGGATCGTCCGTGTGAAATAACTGTTGAGAGTCTTGACCTAATATGAACGTTAATTTATTCTCGCGTTCAAACCACGCTTTGTCAAATTTACAAAACACCTTGTCACTAGTTGATCGTACTGAATTAGTTTTAATTGTTTATAGTTTTTACACTGTTGAGTCACTGGTGAAATGGCTAATAAATAACGTGAATTTCTTTTTATTGAATTTCTATCGCTGAGCTAATAGACGTCAATGTACTGAATATGTCTACACTCTGCGCGTTACTCAAATACGGAGTTGAAATCTAATCAAAACTGACTCTACTAGACCTGAGCGTTGACCCGGAACAGACCGATGATTTTCGTAATTGGCCGTGCTTGTCGACCTTGGTCTTGGAGAGGTTGGTTTGCGTTTCAAACACCCCGGGGGCATTCAACATCAGGGTTGTTGAATTACTGGTTGTCGTTCTGTTGGTCTTCTTCGTCCTCTAGTTGATCTTCTTCTGGAGGCTGTTCTGGTGGTGGTGGGTCTGTTGGCAACAGACAGAGCTTGGCGATTGGTCGATCAAACTCCGAGTGGGTCGTTTTGATGTTCTGGAGGTTTGGTGACCCGTCTGGATGCGTGCCGACTTCTACCTTGGTGATTCTCACTTTGGCTACCCTTGTAAGCCCATCTGCTCCTGGTTTCATTGCTATGACGCTGGCAATTGGCCACTGCGTTGGTGGAAAGCTGTCTTCCATCATCAGCACCATATTGCCAACCTCTATGTTGTGTTGACGTGTCTTCCACTTGTAGATTGACTGGTACCGTTGAAGACACTCTTTGGACCACCTGGACCAGAACTGGTGAATTATCTGCGTCACCAGGTTCCATCGTCGAATTTTGCTGGGGTTCTCGTTGACGTATGAAGACTCTGGGATAACTTGGAGAGGCTCACCTATCAAAAAATGTCCTGGTGTGAGCACTTGGAGATCTTCTGGGTCGTCCGACATCGGACAGATTGGCCTGGAGTTTAGACAGGCCTCTATCTGGATCACTATGGTGTTGAGTTCCTCAAACGTTAATGTTGTCTTTCCCAGGACTCTTTTGAGGTGATATTTTGTTGATTTCACAGCTGCTTCCCATTTGCCACCGAAATGAGGGGCTCTAGGTGGTGAGAAGCTCCATTGTGTCCCATTAGTGGCGAGAGCAGCCTGAATTCGTTGATTTTCTCTGGAAGCTTGGTGATAGAGCCTTTCTAGAACTTCTGCTGCGCTGGTGAACGTGGTGGCATTGTCACTGTACATGACAGCTGGAATGCCCCGTCTTCCGGTGAATCTCTTGTAGGCTCCTAGGAAGGCTTCCGTGGTCTGCCTGTTGACGAGTTCTAGGTGAACTGCTGAAGTTGTGAAGCACACAAAAACTGCAATGTGCATCTGTCCTGGCTGTGCATTCGTTGGTCTCCACTTCAGGATCTGGAATGGACCCGCATAATCCACCCCTGTGTGGAGAAATGCTCTGGATGGTGATACTCTGGTTGCAGGCAGCTGACCCATCTGTTGTTGAGCCTGCTTCCCTCGGTGTCTGGTGCAGATAGCACAGCGCAGAATGTACGCTCTGACTGTGCCCCTGCCACCGATTATCCAGTACCTTTGTCTGGTGTAGGCCAGCGTGAGTTGAGTCCCTCCGTGGAGGGTTCTGCGATGAGCTTCTTCGATCACCAGTGTGGTGAATCTCGACTGACGTGGCAAGATTATTGGGTGTGTCTCTTCAGGGTCTGAGTTCTTCAGGCGTCCCCCAAGTCTCATGATGTTCAACTCGTCTAAGGTTAGTGTGAGCTTTGCTAATTGGTGACCTCGTGGTAGCTGTTGATTTCTCTGAAGCACACGAAGGGCTGAAACAAAGTACTGATTTTGTGTTATTTTTACCCAGAATAATCTCGCTTCGTTGAGTTCTCTTGTTAACAGGATTGGTCCCGGGGGCGTCGGCAGTCTCCTGAATCTGTTGATTGCCCTATTGATAGTCGCTGTTACTGCTAGAAGCCGAGCCATCGAGCTGTACCTGGTGAGTAGCTCAGCAAGTTCGTTGACCTTTGGTGCAACTGGATGTGCTCGTGCTGGTTTCGCTTCCTTGGCCACTTCTGGGATGTCCATTGCTGGAGCGTCAATTATTGATTGNTGGAGCGTCAATTGTTGATTGTGGCCACTCTTCAGGATCCTGATTAATCCACTCAGGTACTGACCACCGAAGTTGATGATTTGCTAGCTGACTTAGAGATATGCCTCTGGATGCGCAGTAGGCTGGATTTTCTTTCCCACTGACGTGTCTCCAGATGGCATTCGGGAGAGTTTCCTGGATCTTGACCACTCTGTTGTGGACGAAATCTTTCCACCTTGATGCGTGGCTTCTGATCCAAGCGAGTGTTACTGCTGAATCCGACCAAAGATGAGTTTCTGCATGGTCGAGCTGAAGCATCCTCTGTGTTGAGGCTACTAGTTGTGTTAACAAGAGAGCTGCTGTAAGCTCTAATCTTGGAATAGTCATGCGCTTGATCGGTGCTACCTTTGTCTTCGCGCAGACCATCACTGTTGAAGCTGGCTCGTTGATGTTCCTGGTGCGTATGTACACCACTGCACTCATAGCTACGGTTGAAGCATCTGCGAATCCGTGTAATTGAATGTTACTTTCTTTTGATGTTAAATTGAGCCATCTGGGTACAGCAACTTTGTCCAATTCTGTGAGTTCCTGGCGAAATAACTCCCACCGTTGAGTGTACTCCGTGGGGAGGGGGTCATCCCAATTACATTTGAGTTTCCAGAGATCCTGTAGGAGGATTTTCCCTTTTACGACGACTGGAGCGATGAAGCCCAAAGGATCGAAGATCTGAGCTATCTCTGAAGATACAACCCTTTTGGTGATCGTCTGTGTGTTGAAGTCTCTGGATTTATACCTGAATGTGTCGGACGACTGATGCCAACACATTCCAAGAACTTTGGTGACTGATTCTTCAAACTGGATTACGGCTTCCTCTGTTGATAATCCGAGCTCGTGCAATAGCCGTGGGCAATTGCTGCTCCATTTCTGAAGAGCGAAGCCTCCAGCCTGACAGAGTCCTTGTAGTTGCCAGACTATCTCCTTGAGTTCTGCTGCTGACTCAGCTCCGCCGTAGATGTCGTCAACGTACCGACCTCTGGTGATTGTCTCGACGGCTGCTGGGAAGCGGTGACCCTCATCCTCCGCTAATTGTTGAAGAACTCTCAGAGATAGCCATGGAGAACAGTTGAGACCGTAGGTGACTGTGGTTAGCTGATAGGAGATTTGTTGCTGATTATCATCAATCCACAAAATTCTCTGGAGGTCCCAATCGTCCCTGTGAACTCGTATCTGTCTAAACATCTTAACGATGTCGGTGCCAAACACGAGTCTGTGCTTTCTCATCCATGTCAAGACGTCCATGGCGTTGATCTGCAATTTTCCACCAGGATATAATATATCATTGAGTGACATACCTGATGAGCTGGGACTGGAGCCGTTGAAAACGACTCTCAGTTTTGTGGTGATGGCCTCTTCTCTCAGAACCCCGTGGTGTGGCAGATAATAGGCTGGGGTAGGTTCTGGAGAATCGGGTGCTCTCTGCATATGTCCCAAAGCCTCGTACTCGTTGATAAACTCCTTGTAGAGCTGGGCATATTCCTGATTGTTGTTGAGTTTGCTGACTGTTGATTTGAGCTGTCGTGAAGCCTTGAACTTTGACTCCCCGAGCGCTTCTGCTGACGTTTTCAATGGGAGCCTTACAATGTAACGCCCTGTTGAATCTCTGCTGTGTGTTGATCTGAAGTGTTTTTCACACTCCAGCTCGTCTTGTGATAGCTCTGAGTTGTCTGAACGTTGGGCTGGTAATTCTTCCTGGACCCAAAACCTTTGTAGAAGCTCTAGTAGTCGTTCATTTGAAGATTCCCATACAGCTGATAGGGAGACCCTCGTTGAGCGACCGGAGCAGTTGATTGGACCTGATAATATCCAACCAAATGCTGTTCGTTGGCCAACTAATCTTGACTGTTTAGACTTGACAACTTCATCTTTAATTATCTGCCCGTAGTTGTCAGCCCCTATTATTATATCTATTGGTCCAGGCTGGAGATACTGTTGATCAGCTAGTTGAAGGTTTTCTAGTGAGCCGATGTCGACTGATTCACAGGAAAATGATGGCAGGATTGCTGTGAGTTTCTTCAAGACGTGGGCGTTGAGTTTTACTTGCTGGGGCCCGTTGATTGCTTGTAGCGTCACTGACACCCTTCCTCTTGTGTGGCCTGAATTGACTCCGCCAATTCCTATTAATTCCAACGTTTCTGTTGTTCTTGTGAGGTGCAGTTGATGTACTAATTTCTCAGAGATAAATGACACCTCTGATCCTTGATCAATTAGTACTCTGGCTCTGCTGATGAATCCTTTTGGGGATTTTACTTTGACTTGCGCTGTTGCTAACAGCACTGATTGTTGATCTGCTTCTTGTTGAGTTGTTTCTGCATTCTCACTGGTCCGCTGGTTGTTGAGGTTGACTGTTGCCGTTGATGTACTGGGTTGAGCTGTTGAGAATGACCAATGAGGAGGTTATTTTGTTGATTATGCTATAATTCGTTCACTCGCTCGTGATCTTATCTGTACTCTGCCCTGGCTCGACTCTTGCTGATGCAGGGACATCTATTGATTCCAAGTCACGTTGAGTTCGTGGTGGAGCATTGGTGTACTCGCTTCCTTAATGAATTAAAGTGTGGTGGTTCCCCTGACATTGTTGACATCTTTTCGTTGAGACACACTTCGTCTTTCGGTGAGGTCCCAGACAGCTGAAGCAGAGGCCATTGCTTATGATCACGCTGTTCCTCTTTATTGGGGGCAACTCTCTGAATTTCTGGCCCTCAGCAATGAAGTGTTTTTCCTTACACATGGCACAACAGTTTCTCGGAAGAATCCTCTCAGCGTTGCTGTCTTGTTGAGTAGCTACTGCGTAAGAGCTCTTCTTCTTCTTCAGTGATTTCCTGTCGGCGATGTTGGTTTCCTGTGTTGCATGAAGCTCTGATCCTGCGTTGATTCCTCTGCCGCAGGCTTCGACGAATCCGACGAATTCCTTCAGACTGGGAAAGTCTCTGGAGTCTCCCAGTTTCAATTCCAACTGCTTGAGGGTTTCTGCATCTAATGATCTCCTCAGCAGGTGGGCGATCATCTGTTCAATCAAGTTCGCATCTGAGAGACCGACTACCTCTCGTAGCTGGTCTAGCGACTCGACTGCTGCTGCTGTGTTGTGGTTGAGTTTCTCCTGAGTTGCCTTGGTGATCTTTGGCAGCTCCAGTATTCGATTGAACAGGTACTGAGCCACCAATCTTGGATCATCGTATTTCGCCTTGAGCTTTTGCCAAGCCTTTTCATAATTCTGGTCGTTGATGTCCAATGTCGATATGAGAGTAGCTGGAGGTCCTCTGAGGCTGCTTTTGAGTCTAATCAACTTCTCCACTGGTGCGATTGTTAATTTGCTACCGACCAGCGAGCTGAAGAGATCTCTGAATTCCTTCCACTGGGATGGGGTGCCGTCGAAAGCCTTCAAATCCAGACGTCTGAGCTTGTCTGGGTGTTCTTGGCCTGGTGAATTGCTTGCTGGTTGAGTTTTCTTCGACAGCCGACCTTTCAGCTTACTGATGAGCTTTATACTTTGCTCCTTTGTGGCAGCTGTCTGTTCGAAGATTCCTTCAGTCAAGTAGGGATGATCGTGAGGGAGATATTCGATTATGCCTCCCTGCTGTGAGAGAAACTCTGCCCAGTAGGTCTCAAGGATTTCTTTCTGTCCATCCAGCTCTTCCACGGTGATGTCCTCGTCATTCATGATCGTGTTGGTGAGCTCCTTATAAATGTGGATGATGCTCTCCACTCTANTTTCTTTCTGTCCATCCAGCTCTTCCACGGTGATGTCCTCGTCATTCATGATCGTGTTGGTGAGCTCCTTATAAATGTGGGTGATGCTCTCCACTCTAAACTTTAGCTGCCTCAGTAGAATCTCTTGATGCACAGTGAGACCTGCCGCGGGTAGCCCTATCATCTCCGAGTATCTCGTCTTGATGTGCTGAATTCGTTGAGTACTCTGGATATTGGCTTCGTCTTCAGTCTCGCTGATTACAACTTTCGGAATTGTTGATGGTGGAGGTTCTGTCTTCGTTGGTTGTGCTGCTGCGCCTCTAGTATCTTGTTGATTATCTATGGCTTATTTTTCAATTACGGTATCTGGATCAGACATGATGATGTAATTGAAAGTTTACTTGCCTGAGAATTCCTTGTTGAGTGGCTTCGGATGTCGGTGATGTATCGACTGTCGATGCGTTACCAACCGTTGACGTACTGTCGATGCGTTACTGACCGTAGATGTTTGCGTTGTGTCGGTAAGGCGTCGCTTGGGAGGCCGCCTGTTGCTGAACGCACTGGCCCAGCGTTGAGGTCCTTCGGCAGTACTCGTATATCCCGAACTCTCGCGAACCTTTTCAACGCTTTGAGACACCGATGTTTACACTTCGGATTACCGCCAAGAGAAAACAATAGCACAACTACTCTTTGTCCGTTGAGATTCTGTCCGTTGACCGACTCGTGGGGACCCCGAAAGTTCGTTACACGAGGCGTCTTTTTAAATTCACCCGAATCCGATCACACTAATTACTCCCAAATCCGGCTCGAAGGACCAATGTTTGGTGAGGAACTAAGTTTAGGGTGGATTGGGATGTTAGAGGATCGTCCGTGTGAAATAACTGTTGAGAGTCTTGACCTAATATGAACGTTAATTTATTCTCGCGTTCAAACCACGCTTTGTCAAATTTACAAAACACCTTGTCACTAGTTGATCGTACTGAATTAGTTTTAATTGTTTATAGTTTTTACACTGTTGAGTCACTGGTGAAATGGCTAATAAATAACGTGAATTTCTTTTTATTGAATTTTTATCGCCGAGCTAATAGACGTTAATGTACTGAATATGTCTAAACTCTGCGCGTTACTCAAATACGGAGTTGAAATCTAATCAAAACTGACTACTTGGCCGATCGGTTTATACTGACTCGCGTTGATTTACGGTGACTCTACTAGACTTGAGCGTTGACCCGGAATAGACCGATGATTTTCGTAATTGGCCGAGCTTGTCGACCTTGGTCTTGGAGAGGGTGGGTTGCGTTTCAAACAAGATCTTTAGGAAAATTCTTGTAGGTCCTTTAGTTTTGAAGATATTTGCAGAAACTTCCGTTCAAAAAATCCGTTTTTTGAGAATACCTGAATAACGCGTCGATACATCAAAATATTTCATTATTTTAAGTTAGAAGGAAATCGGGAAGTTAAACGGGTGACCCGTGAAGGGTCACATGAGTTAAATATACAATTTCGGATTTGAGATGCCCGCGCCAGATTTTTTATGTATTTATTCATTTTAATATACTTGTCAGAGGCCTAGCGGCCTAATACAAGGGTTTACAGATAATGTGTGGTAACAAGCACTGTTGTACGTTATTTTATTGGCAAAGTTAAAAATTTTAAGCTTTGGCTGATGGCTGGGACTTCAGTCGTCGTTTGCTTCCTGCAGGGCAAAGGCTCTTAGCTGAAGATTGTCTATTATAAAGAGGCAACGGTTTTTGGCTTGTTCAGCGTTCTCAGGGCGAAGAATTAACGGAAAAGAAGCTGCTGGGATGTACTTTGTTCTCAGATTGTCGTAAAGTGGACAATCGGCGATGATGTGTTGGAGCGACTCAGGAGTGTAGTAGTTCGCCGTGGAGCACCAGCGACATAGTTTTTGCTGAACGACTTGGTATTTAATTTTCTTTATTTTGAAAGTGAGCGTGGTGATGCTCCCTAGTCTAGTCTGTGCAATGAGGCGGGTGTATATGAGTGGTAGACGTATGGTAAGATAGCCTACACATTGATGGTCGCTGGCTGCTGGGTTGATGTTTCTGATGCTGCCATAGCCTGGGTGTCGTGATGATTGTGCGATCCTGGTGATATCCTCTGGGAGTCTTCGGGCTCTCATGGCTTCTACTAAACTGGGAATTGTTTTCTTTTTGAAGGACTCTTCGCTGGGGAAAAAGTCTTCTGGGGTTCAAAATGGTGCCAGCCAGGTTAGAAGGCTGGTGTACCAATTCCGGGATAAGTCATTCTGCGCTGAGTCGTGTAGGTTCTTCAGTAGCATGAGACTTCGCTTTGGGTATCGGATATCATCCATTGCTTCAATTTTACCCCAAAGTTCCAGGGCTCTCTGTAGTACTTTGGATTCCAGATGATTTGCTCCGGTTCCCATCCTCAGCAGGTAACCAGGTGTGCTCCATGGGAGGCTTAGGATAGATTTAAGAAAAAACCTCTGGATTTGATCTGTGTCATCGATGTGTTCAATCCCCCCGACGGATGAGCAGTAGAGTACTGTTGGTACAGCTACAGCGTTGAACAGATTCATCCTCTGGCGCTAGCTAGTCATTTTCGTGGTGGCCATCGTTGTCCAAATTCAACTGTTTACTAATTTCGCTCTTGTGGTGAAGTGATCTAGTGCGTGGTTGAAGAAGCCGTTTGCGGTGAATGGAACTCCCAGGTATACGTATTTTTTGACTATTTCGAGTGGCAGCCCTCGGTATCTCAGGGTGCGTAGCTTCGGTGGTCGTCCTCCTTTACTAAATATCATGACTTTAGTCTTCTCCGTGTTCAGTGTCATTTTGTTTAACTCGTCGTATTCAGCGAGAGTGTTCAGCTTATGCTGCATGTCGACTATGTCATCTGATAACAGGAGTCCGTCGTCGGCGAATAGGAGTAGTTCCATCTTCTTTTCCACGTTTATGTGCTCTCTGCTTCGGAAGAGAGTTGCCATGTCGTGGAGTAGGAGCATGAACAGTATCGGGCTGAGAGGGTCTCCTTGGAGAACGCCTTGTGTAATGCTGCTACTTTTAGTTTTCTCATCACTGCTAATTCGTACCCCAGTTTTTGCATTGCCGTAGAAATTGCTAAGTACCTTAATGAGGCGAGTGCTCATGCCTACATAGTCGAGCTTCTGCCAGAGTACTTGGTGATCTACTCCATCGAAGGCGCGTTTGTAGTCCACAAATGTGGCGAGTAGTCATCCCCGTTTTACTGAGGGCCACTGAGACTTTAGCGTTAAGTGTGAAGATGTTGTCTTTGCAGCTTCTCTTTCGACGGAAACCTGACTGCCCTTCGAGAAGAATGCCTTGGTTTTCACTCCAGGTGCTCAGTCTGGCTACGAAGACCGACTTAAAAATTTTTGGCAGCGTGTTTGCAAGGGCGATCCCACGGTAGTTGTTTGGATCACCTTTATCTCCTTTTTTTTGTGAAACATAACTCTTTCTGAGTTGGACCATCCAGGGAGGATTTCTCTTTTAGAGAATACCCGGTTGAATAGCTCCGTCACTGCTTGGATCATATTAGGTGTGAGATGTTTATAGAAGTTGTTTTCTATACCAGCTGGCACTGGGCTTTTGCCGGCTTTCAGGTTCTTCAATACCTGCGTAATTTCTTGGCAGGATATATAGTTATCGAACTCGGCGACCTCTTGGCTTGCTAAATTCACATCAGCCATAGGTATTATAAGGTTGTTGGTAGTATAGAATTCCTCCCAGGTTTTGGCAGTGGTTGAACACTGCGTGAAAGGTTTCCTACGGAATTTACCTATTATCTTCCAGAATGTTTTCGTGTCGTTAGCTCTGAGAAGGTCGTCCTGGAGTGGTTTCAGGAAGTCTTTTTTTTTCTTTTTGACAGTTTTTATGCACAATTTACGTGTGCTTTTATATTCAGCTAGTGCGTCGTCCGTATGCCCTCTGCTCAGCTGCCGGTGCTCTGCGTTCACTTTCTTGCGCAGCAGTCGACAGTCGTTGTCGTACTAGGGTTTGTCGTTTCTTTCGAACGTGCTGATTGTCACCTATTTTTCCATCTGGGCATTTTGAGCTGCTTTAACAACGGTGTTAGCTAGAGTTTCGTCGAGCTGGGTGATCGTGGCGTCGGGCGGTATTTGGAGGGTGGCGTTTTGTAGCTCGGCTTGGTATATATTTGCCTGTTGAGGATCCCATTTGGTGATTTTCTGCTTGATAGTTCGTCTGCTAGTTTTCTCTCTATGGTCAGTGGAGTTTCAATCGAGGAGAACTTGGATCGACAGATGGTTTGAAAGACCTGCGCTAAGAACTTTAAAATCGACCACGATTTTCAAGGCTATTTGGNTGGTCAGTGGAGTTTCAATCGAGGAGAACTTGGATCGGCAGATGGTTTGAAAGACCTGTGCTAAGAACTTTAAAATCGACCACGATTTTCAAGGCTATTTGGTTTACCCAAGCGTAATCTATGGTGCTGCTGTCCAGTGCTCCGTCGAAGGTTAATAAACCATGGGAGTCTGACCTTGAGCGCCCGTTTAGCGTTATCAGTCCTAGTGGTTCAAAAGCCTCAGTCATCATTCTACCGTTCGCGTCTTCTTTATCATTTGCTGTCCTTCTAGCGTACAGTTGTGTTTCTTCAGTTATTTCGTCATCGATTTCATTGAGTAGGCTTATCCGGCCGTTCATGTCTCCGCCAACAATAAGCGGAGAGTCGCTATAATTTTCTACAATATCTTGGAGGAATTCTTGTAGTGCTGAAATCCTCTCGTCATAGAACCTACGGTCTATATATAAGCTCACAATTATTATTGCAGTGTTATGGATAGTTAGCTTGATTGCATGCCAAGTACTATTATTGTCAATAAGCTCTGCTTGCTGTGCAAGGGCTGGGTTGATCATTATTGCACGTCCCCCTGAGCCTCTTCCTCTATCTTTCTCTTTGGTTGCGAGGACTCCGATTGTCCTTATGTCCGTTAGTTGTTGCAGGAGATTGCTGATGGGGCTTAGAGCCCAGGTGTCTGAGAGCCCTATTATAACGCTGTTGGACATGATATTTGTTATCTCCTCCGCTGTCAGGTAATAATGGTTTCGAGTTCCATCGACGTTCCAGAAAATAATGCTCATTGTTTTCGAAAGGAATCGGGGGTAATAGGTCTGCTTTATTCAGGGCTCCCTGAGGTTCGGCTTGCTCTCCTGCTCGTGTTCCGGAGTGAAGATGAACTGGGTTTGCTGGTTCCCGGCTGGGTGAAGCGAAAATTTTTTCTCTCTAAATTCTAATTCTCTTAGAATTCTTTAATGCCTAAAGGAGGTTAGGCGGTGTATGAGATGAATTTGAGAGTGAATTTCTGTGGTTCCCGGTAGCTTAGTCGGTAAGAGTGCCCGGCGCGTATCTGGGAGACCCGGGTTCGATTCCCGGCTGGGTGAAGCGGAAATTTTTTCTCTCTAAATTCTAATTCTCTGTACATAACTTCTTTCTTTGGTTTTGCTTTCCACTAGGCCTTTATCCTTTACCCGGATGAGTTCCTTATTGTTGACTACGACTTTGTTATGTCATATGCGGACTTGGTGTCCCTTGTTTCATTCGCATTGAGCAAATTGGTTAATTTGCGCCTGCTCCTGCTGCTGCTTTTTTATGCGGTCGTGGAAGATTGATATTGGTTTGCCGGTCAGCTTTGTTTTGGCTTTCATTACTTTGTTTTTGTCTAATTGATGTTTGTTAAACATTTTCTGAAAAGGGCTTAAAATTACAGTTCAGAATGCGTCAGTTACCTGGCAAACAGACTGACACCAGGCGATTTTTCCACGAAGGGTATGATTATCATCGAGATGGGAGAGACAGTGGAACAATTTTTCGCTGCGCAGTAAGATATAAAAAGCGATGTAGTGTCCAGATTTACGTCAATTCGCTAGATGACCTTGAAAACCAGCCCATCACGATTTGCGGGCGTCATAGTCATACACCAGATCATCATTTACCTTTGCGCGAAAAATTCACTGCCGAAGTGCTGGAATTAGCATTAACATGGGAAGATCCGAAAGCTATCTTCGATCGTGTCAAAGCTAAGGAAGAGTAAACAATCTCCTTCAGTCTTACAATTTTTTAGTCGCAGACTACGTTTTCTGCGTTCTTTCAAATCTGCCAACTCCAATTTGACATTTTTCAATACCAATTTCTGAAGGTATCGCCCCATTGCCGACGAATTATGATATTATCAAGAGTATAAACAAAAAATGGCGAAGGCGAGGAGAGACCATGTGCCGGGAACTCCAACGAGCTTGGTGGAATTCGGTGATATGTTAGAAGAGTACCCTCCTCTACCGCATTTGTACAAAGGGACTTTGCATGCAGCCGACGGATCATGTGGAGTTATCATGATGCACGATGGCATGCGTGCGCCTTTGTCATCATGCAAGCAGTTATATTCGGATGGAACATTTAAAGTATGAATTTATAAATATTGAAAATTTATTGTATTTCCAGACGCTTTAGCTATTCGCATTTTCATCATCACTGGTCGATTAGGTGACGAAGGGTTAACAGATAAAAATGAGGGTTATTAATCATTGCCGTCGAAATGTAATAATAATTTCATAATCAATCCTCAGAGTATGGAGAGTTGGCTATGAAATTAAGGGCTGAGCATTATAACTAGCGGAAAGTAATAATGACGATGTTATGCCCCAAATAACTTCTCAAAATTCAACTGCTTATTCGAATAACATGAAGTGACGAAAGTGGCACAAGTTATTCGAAACAAACAGTGGAATGAAGAAATATAAAATAACATTAAAAACTCGTGAATAAAACTTCACGAGTTAACGTCGAATACAGATAACTGGGGTGCAGCGTCAGCACTTTGCGCCCCGACGACTGGCCTTCGCGTACACCGGGAAGACGTCACCCGATGCCTTGCGGGTGTGCGACGAAGAACAATGACCTGATGCAATCGTATTACATGAGGTGATAAAAACTCGTGTAATCGTTGTCTCGGGGCCAGTTACTTGTCAATTCTTTGATTACCTTCTTTATACTTTATACTCGCTTGATACATTCAGTATCAAACCGAGTTTTATTTATTCAATAACTTTTAAATTAATGATTAAAAAACCAATTCCCAATAAAGTAATTATTTCTATTAACTACCCACGTGTAATTCATCCCTAATTGAACCCAACCGCTCGGGTCCATTACATATTTTGGTGGCAGCGGTGGGATTGGGAAGACGAAGGCCTGATCAACCACTGTCTAATTACACAGTGATAGAGAACAAGATATTATTTGAGGAATTGGACTATTTGAGGGTAGTCTGGCCTACACGTGTAACGACTCTTTCATCGAGGGAGCGAGAAGATTACCTATTAGGTAAACCAGCTGAAGATTTTCGTGGACCTTTTCATCGAGGGAGCGAGAAGATTATTACCTTCGAGGTAAACAAGCCGAAGATTTTCTTGGACCTTTTCTTCGGGGGCGCGAGAGATTAGCCATAGTGGTTAACGGCAGAAACCTACCCTACTACATATTCGTAATAAAAGGGCTAGTACAGTGGAAACCTAGTCTGACAGAAGGGACTAGTATCGAGTAGTAGCTACGCAAGTAAGATTATTTTATCTTTTTTGGCCAAGAGATAAATAATCGGTATGTCAACTCCAGGAGGTAGTCGACAAGAAAGTGAGTTTGATTCCTATTCTCTCTCTGCGCCGGGAGCACGGAGGAATCTGTTCAACTCAGATGGGGAGATTGACAGAAATGTTAATCTGCGCCGAAGATATACCCAATCTTTGCATCAAAGCATGTTAGTCGCTAATCAGCGACAGGTACGGGCCGAAGTTCACCGGGACGCTGGGGACGAGTTACCGGACGAATTACCTGGGGCTGGGCGCGGCAATAGCACGCAAAGAAGTAACGGGAGAATCTCAAATTCTCCAAATAATGTACGTCTTTACCTTGCTAATCCTCCACAAAACGTGCCGGGAAATCCATTTGAGGACATCGAGGAACTTCCGGAGGAAGAGGAAAGAGCAGAGGAAATAAATGACACGCCTGAACTACACTTTTCTACCCCAAGCAACGTCTTCTTCCAGGCGGGGGCACTTGGAGCAGGGGGCTTTAAACCAAATCGCACTCCTGAGGATGGGCGTCGTGAAACTATAC